GAGCAGGAACACGGAGCAGGGACCCTCCTGCCCTTGCACTTCTTCCCACTGGCAGAATAGAGGAGGGTGGGAGCACATCCCCGGTGCCCCCGCTGACCAGTGTCACCAGCAGCCCCTCGGTCAAAGCCCTGTCTGGCTTCTGCCCACCGACAGATTATGCTCCCCAAATCCCCCCTCCCTCGCAGGTGCCAGCTTTTCCCATCAGTCAGCAGAAAGTTCACAGCGACAGCCAAACCTGAGTCATTCCAACTGCTCGCCTGCCCACTCCCAAACAGAAAACACCTTTAGAGACACGCACTGGTCCCCAGAACCTTTTGTCTAAATTTCAGTATCACAATGGATCCTACGCGACACAAAAGACAGTCACAGCAGTTTCAGAACAAGAAGCGGCCACACAGACGCTCCCTTCACCAAACCCAAACCTTTGGGATCTTCCAACAGAAATGGCACACAAGGCTAGAGCTGAACCAGGCAGAGGAGACCCTGAACCTACATACAACAAAATAACTAATTATGAATGACATTTCAGTAAAAGGAATTTATACAAATGCCTGAGCAGCTGTCTTTCAGGGTCAGAAATGTCACTGAGGCAGAGGCACGCGTGTCTGGGGGGGAGCTGCAGGTCAGTAACCGCCATCCAACCCACCTCCTCGGCCACCGGGAACGGTGATGGCAGGGGTGCTGGTACCTGGGACAACGGTTAAGCTGCCTGCCAAGACCCTGGAGGATACACATCCCCAGGCCTGACGACTCAAACCCTTGTTCCCGAGTCCCCTCCCCAGAAGATGCTGTTCCCTTGCCCTGACTTGCTGTTTCTCTCAGGACGTGGTCCCCGCAGCAGAGGACAGGTCTGCAGTCCCTCAGACTCCTGGAAGTCACTACTTTAAGGATGGTTGCACCAAAAAGTGAGAAATCCTGAGAGTTCAACCCTCGCAGCTTTGAGTGTTGGAGCAGGAAACCAGCTGGCAGGCAGGAGTTGTCTAGCTGTGGCAGCCTGGGGCTAGGAGATGCTAGGAGAGGAAAACCTGCGTGACGTTTGTCTGACTGAGAATTATCTGAATGTGAAACAATTAGAAAAAAACAGCCAAGGTTCCTCCTGACAGGCAGTCCTCTGGCTTTATGAATGATATGTTTAGCCTAGATTCATGTTATGTCATGGACATAACATGGACATCCCCAGATGCGGATGACGAGCAGGGCACATCCAGGGAAGGCCTGCTGTGTGGGCAAGCAATCCCACTGCCCAGGTCCCTCCCCACACGCTGTGCCATGCCGCGGTTTGGGAAGCCTACAGTGCCCTCACGGAGACGGTCAGAGCAGACCCAGTGCCCCTTCTTTCTCCTGTG